TTCATGCATATAAAAAATTGCTTTTAATAGATATAATTTTCACACTGTACATGCAATTGTCATATATAATAGATAATATCTAATAAAGCGGATCTATGCATGTGTTTATAGTCTCTATACTAAGCATATATTTTATTCCTTATTAATTCAATGAAAGGTATAAATAAATTAATTAAAAATACAAAAGCAATAAATGTGCTGACTTATTATTATTTTATTCTTTTACAACAAACAAGCTTAGATTACGAATTACATAAAATAAATAAATAAATAAAATTTATATATATATTTATTAATCTTTTATATATATATATATATATATATATATTATTATGTAATTCAATTCAAATCTAACTCAAATTACACACTTAAATATAATAGGTGAATTTATCACTAAAAATTTTATATTTTTAAATTTTTTTTATTACATTCTTTTTTTAATCACATCTTTTATATATATATATATGACAGAATTTTTTATACTAAAAATTTTTATACTCATTTTAAATTTTCTATTTAACTATATTTAATAAAATATAATTTATTATTTTATTAACTGTTAGATATAAAATAAATAAAAATTTAAATTAAATATAAAAATTTATAAACTTACATATAGATATTTTTTTTTTACTACACAACTCTCCTATGCATGTCACCATAAGACATGAGACCATCATTAATTAAAACCAAAATGAAAGTCAACAGCAACACAAATTCAATCTGATCCGTTTTATAGAAAAATAATTTTAGCTAGTCAACTTTACAATTTTTTTAGAGTAACTTCGTAATTACAGCCAATAAAAGTTGGATATAAATGGTGAGTGAATCATTCGGGATTATAGTTTCAATATAATTTTTTAAGAGAAAATAATTACTTTTAGAATAACATGTTTTTAATTGTATTTCCATTTTAAAAATAACTCCTAAATTGGTATAACCTCTTTTATACTAGTATAACTGGGAACTAATTCCTTTTTTTCTTTATTTTGTTGTCTTTGAAAAATATATTACTGTGTTGATAAATTTCTTAAAAAAATTTGAAGAGATAGAGTTTGAGTACAAAAATTAAAATTAAAAAAAATTATGTAAATTGAAAATTTGATAAAAAAATAATTATTCGTTAAAATAATTTATCTAATATGAACTTATCTTTAAATATATTATTTCAAGATGTCAAGCACCCAAAAAAAACTATAAACTTTTTTTTATTCATCAAATAACTTTATTAATATATTAACTAAATAAATTATAATTTTATGTTATTAAATACGTTGTATTCTAAGTTGATAAATTACAACCACTCCCATCTCTATTCTGCATTTCCAACGAATTGGCGTTAGCATTCAACTCTTTTCTTTCTAAAATCACATCTATCATGCAACGCTGTTTCTCTTACACTCACACTCACTTTATCATTGGTCCAGGTATCTAATACAGTGCCAATTATTTGACACGAGTTGCTCACTCACAGCAAATGCGAATGTGATTAATCATTGACATGTCACATGTCCCATTAATTATTTTGATTGTTGCTCAAAGCTTTGGCCCTCTAAACCCTTCGGCGGAGCAAATGTTTAACTTTAACCTTTGATAGGGATATGGTTCCACTTAGATTAAATTTTACGTAAAAGAATTGTATTTAATAATAAAAATATATTGTAATTTGTTTGGAGTATTCTAAATATAATATTATATTTAACTTAATTTGTTTAATAATGTTTTAAATTAAATTGAATGATCTAATTTTATGAATTGATAAAATTCGATCTAATCTGGTTTTTAATTTCTAATGTTTTTTTAGTTACATTTTGTGCTATTAGTTTTAAATTTTATTTATTTACTTTTTTTGCAATTTTTTTTCTTGAATTTCATTCAATTTTTTATAATTTGTATCGAGTTAAATTTGTTTACAAATATTATTACTTTTAACTTTATTTGTTTATAGAATTTACATTACATAATTATTCTTTTCAATGCAGAAAGATCATGGGTGGTTGGAGTAGCAAATAGCAATATTTTAAGTATACTATGTATGATACAGTAAATCAAAAGTTTAAAATAGTATTAAAATTAGAACAATTTCAACATAAATTTTATTATTATTTTCATAGATAAAAAGTTTTAATTAAACACTAGAGTATAAACACTGTATAGGGATAAAATGTTCTGAAAGGAGATTACGATAAATTTATCAGAGAATAGAGAAAAAAAAAATTCAATTAGAGACGCTCTTAATTTATGGGCAACTCTACAAAAAATATTAAATGAATATCATAGCTTATTTGGCATTTTAATTTTTAAACTTCAATTTTCAATTTATTTTTTTAAATTTGAAATAATAAAAATATAAAAAGTTAATAATGCAATAAATATATTTAATTTATAGATTTACTTATTTCTTTTCTTTCCCTTCTCTTCTTTTTTCTTATACTTATCTCCAATCCATTTTTTTTTCCCTTCTATTTCTTCTTAAAGATGGTCATAGGTACAAAATTAATGTGAATAGTGTTAACTATGTATGGTTAGGTATTTTTCTTCTACTCATCATCTGGTTATTGTTCCTCTAAGATTATAAGGAGTGGGGCAGTTGTAATTAGAGTTATCTATTCATGTTATCCATCTTAATCGGATGCAAGTAACATGCTTATATAGACTTGGATTTAAAATGTTTAAAATTATTGAGTTTCTAAAATGCCAAATCAAATCTAACTTTATTTGAGCACTGGGTTTTATGCAAGTCAACTTGCATAGTTATGATTATACTACTAATAATAATTAAACAAATTATTAAAAATGTTAGTTTCCTAAATAATTAAACATTCATATATACCAAATATAAAAATTTAATATTTTTATTTTAAGATTCTTAAAAATTTAAAGGGATTGATCTCCTACCAAATATTTTCATAAAAAATTGTTAAAATCTATATGTTAATAACGCTCTTAAAAATTAGTTTGAGAAGAAAAAGTATACTTAAAAATAACACTCACGTGGGTTAAGAAATAAGTGTAGGAGTGTCTCATTGCTCCTTGTTCTTGCATCTCTAATATTCTTTCATCTCCATTGTTAGTTCTTGCTTTGAGTTGGGGTATTTTCTTCTTCTTCTTCTTTTCTTATTTTCTAGTTTCCCCTATAAAACACCCACAAGTTTTTAACATTGGAAAAAGAAAAGAAAAGATAGAGGTATTTAATAAGTCTCTTTTAATAAATTTAAATTTAAAAATAAATTATCATATTAAATTAAATTGAAAAATAATATATATATATAAGGAAAACAAAAAAAAATCATGTGTCATATGTGTGTATACAAAAATTTAAAAAATTATATTATTTCTATATATATTCAAGGATTCAATGAGTTAGAGAGTACAATCTTAGTTTTCATCTCTAAATTTATTTCGAGAGATTTTTTCAGTCTTTAATCTTTAACTTCACAAGATAAAATTCTCCAAACTTGTACTCTAAATTAAATAAAATATTCCGTGAAAAAAATCCAAAATAACAAGGATATATCTGTTTCTGTATATTTAATTAATCACATAAATAAATTTAACTTTTAATTTTTAAGAGTAATATAACATTTTAACATACTTTCTTTACACAAATTCTATTTTAGTATTTTACATTATTAATAATTTTATTTTATAATATTATTTTTTATTATTTATGTTTTTAAACCATTGTAATATTATTTTTAATTACTAAATGATGTATTAAATTTATGTTAAGGAAAAAAAATTACTTATATAATTAATATAATGTTTACTTAATATGAATTTTATCCATCCAATATTTATTATATATAATATAATATAAAATATATTTTAAAATTTAAACTATTTAATTTTGAATATTTTAATTATTTTTATAAAAATATAAATAAATATAATATAAAATATTAATTTTTTTTATCATTCTTAATCTTTGGTTTGTCATTTAATTATTATATTATTTTCTTATCTATTATATTTTGATATTTCATTTTTATTATAACCATGAAATATATACACAGAGAAAATTTCAAATTGTATCAATATAAGTTACACTATTTTTATACTGTCAATAATTTAATATAAAAATATTTTTTATTGATTATGTTGTTGAATTATAATTATATATGATTTTGATTATTTGTATCAAATTTTGTCAAAATTTAATAATTGTAAAAGTATAATAAATTCTTGTTTTTATAGATTTCAGAAGTATATATTACTTAAATTTTAATATATATAAATAAAGTATTAAATAATTTTAAATTGATCTAAAATTATGATAATATAATTTAAGTAATTAAAATTTTTAATTTAACTAATAATTTTAGAATTAAATTATTCAGCAAAATTTATTAAAAAACATAAGAGTAACTATAATTTATATTAGTGTACACAAGTCCACACAGTTAATAGTTACATGCAAGAAGACCGAGAAACATATATAACTTATTAATAGTTCACCTATTTTATTATATAATTTTAAATTTGATTCAATAATACTTATTTATAATCTACCAATCACGTAAATGTATATAGCTTATTAATAGTTTATAACCTATTTTCTTATTTATTAATTTTAAATTTGATACAATAATACTCATTTATAAATGTTAAATTATATGGTTGTTTTTTTATCCATAAATAATGAACCATGTAATTTAACGATTCCGAAAAAGCCACCTGTTGCGTAATGTTTGTTTGTAACGCTACTAGTAATCAGGTTTTCTCCAACCGAATGATAACTTGTTTCTTGGTTTATTTAATTAACAAAGAAAGGAAGCATTATAATTTGTGAGGATTGAATTGAAAAGTTTCTTGTGGCGTGTTCTTTTCATCTTCATGATCACAAAGTACAAGTCATGACAAGTGGACCGATTCCTTTCTTTTAGGCAATGAAAATTGAAAATTTCCACTTGAAATAAAAGAAACAACTTAGCTAGCATCTTGGTTAAAGGACAGATAGATACATATATATATTATGAAAAAAGAAAATTGTTGGGACCACGGATAGAGAAGAGTGAAGAGTTGAAGAATATATGTGGCAACTACACTACATGATACTCTTCTCCATTGGTAACACCTCCCCCACTCTTGTCCTGCTTCACTGCACCCCTTCATATGTTCTGTTCCTAAGCAAACACAAAGGTACTTAACCTGTTTTTGTCCCTTGCATTCACCTTCCCGAGGCTTTCTCTTGCTTCTGTTGAAATGTCCTATCCTTTTACCCTTTTTCAAAATTATTTATCCCTTCTATGTTCTAAATATAATAATAAATGAGATAATAATAATATATTTATTTCCATGCTGAACTTATAGATAAAAATCCGTGTCATTGTTTCTGAGGTGTTCTGGTAAAGCTGTTGCCACATATTCTTATCTTCTTCCCCCGATTATAACTTTTGTCATTTTCATCACGTGTTTATGTGTTTCTCTGCTCATGCTTTCCCTTTCCAACCTGCATTTGCAAGTCTTTTCATAACCAGTAATCCAGGTCAGGGCCATGCCCACCTTTCCATGACAAGCTTTGTTATTTTCAAAACTGTTTTCAAAAGTTCCATTTTTTTTGGTCATTGGCTTCTAATAATTCGGTTAGGTTAGACTTTCTCTGGCTCCAACTTAATTTACTAAGCCATCACTGTAACTTATTTTCTCTCTCTCTCTCTCTCTATATACTATTTTTAGTATTAATATTGTTGTGAAACTATGTGTACATCAAGATTCAAGAAAGGGTGTGAATTACATTTTCTTTTCCAATTTTATATAAATTTTATGACGCTATTCTAGCTGGTTTAGCATCCATGCTAATATGTAGGTTTCTTTTTATGTATACTGTCCTTCCCTGACTCATTCTGTATGAGTGTGGTTTTGATAAATTTTGATGGAAACTTGACATTAATTTTACAGTTGCAAGGATAGCGAGGATGGCCCCACAAGAGTGTTTAAGGACACAGTTGCAAATAATTGTGTGATTTGTTGGGTCTCTCTGTCTTCGGAGTGGTTGAAGTTAACTGTGGATCGGTCACGGATTAGTGTTTTAGTTCACGAGGAAAAGGGTCACTGGATAAGCTTTTGTAATAAAGAAAGAATCGTTGTGAGAGAAGGGAAATGGAGACACTGAATCACAAGTCTATTGAGAGAGTGGTTTCTCAGAGAGCCTTCCAAATGGGTACTTCGTTTCCTTGTCAAATTTGTGTGGTGGGATTTCTGTGTGGAGTATGCCTCACCACTTTGTTCTTGGCTGCTTTGACTTCCTTTGGCACCTTTCAGTTTGGACCCATTTCATTTTCAACCTTGTCTATGGCTAATTCATCAGGGAATTCTACTTCTAATGGTGTCAGTGAGTCGAGCTCCTCCTTCGTTTCAACCACTTCTTATTTATTCTTTTATTTCTTTATATTGTTTTGTTTTTATGGTAATGGGGTGCTTTTTCCTGAATTTTGAAACTGGGTTATGGAGAACCAATTTTATTTTCCTTTTTTTCTTCCTTCTTTTGTATTTTTTTTAAGATAAAGAATCGAGTTTATTATGAGTTCCTAACCTTTTCTTAAAGTTTGTTGTATTCAAGGACGTTTATCAATGAAGCGAACTTGATGAGAACGAGTTAGGCTTGGGCATGACGCAACTTTAATGGATACTTAAATTACTTTCTTTACGTTAAGCACACTCTAATAACCTCTTTTTTGACTTGGACTGCATTTGCTAGAGACTATACATTGTTTTGTTGCATAAGCAGTACTATTACATTTATGACATTCATGTAGTCACTATTTATAGTAGAACGATACACGTAGAAGTGATGACAGTGATGCACTAACGTATTGATCAATCTAATTATTATGGGTAGGTTAAATTTAATTAACGGTGGAATGTGTTTTCTTGGTTTTCTTAGATATGGTCACAAGTTCGGACTGCCATTTTAAACTTAAGGAAACTGAGAGATTACAGGATACAAAGATCAGTAGAGAGCGAGATGATGATGATGATGAGAGAGTCTCATTACTTTTTTCAGCTTGGAGTGATGCGTTGAATGAATCCATAAGTGGTGATAGAGAGTACTTGCAGAAACATGGAATTAGTGGGTCCAGTTTGCCTAATGCCCCACATTTGGAAAATTGCAAGTTGAAAACACAGCTATATGGTTATCTTGATAAGCGAACGGGAAATGAGAGCTTCCCACCATGGACAAGCTGGAAGGGATTTTTGCAGAAATTCCCTGTTGCTGCATTCAATGGGCAGATGCAAAATCTTAGGCACCAAGCTGCATCTGAGGGGGCTTATCCACCTTGGGTGCGTTCTTAACTATATCTCTAGTGTTTTGGTTTTACCATAAATTATTTCACTAGCAAACATGATTTGTTTAGTGTACTTGTTGGTACCAATATTTGGTTTATATTTGTCACCTCTAAATATGCTAGTGAAGTGGTATCAGTTTCCATAACAATCATCTCTTCATAACCAGTTTTTATTTATGTGGTTGTTAGTTTCCATCTTATTTCAATTTTTTAAATGCATGATTGCAACATTTGGGATATAATTATGAATAGTAAAACAGCATATAGATGCTTGAGGAAGATTTTGGAACTTCATTAGAACATAAGATGACATTTACAATGTTCATGATTAAAAATTAGATGGAGTGTTGTAAGTTTGTTCATAAAGAAGCTTTTGCAGATTGCAGGATCCGATGGAGAAAACTATCCCTTGACTAGAAAAGTGCAGCGTGACATATGGATCCATCAGCATCCTTTAAACTGTAGCAGCCCAAATGTGAAGTTTCTTGTTACTGACTGGGAGAAATCACCTGGATATGGTATTGGGGCTCAGATTGCTGGGATGTGTGGACTTCTTGGAATCGCAATCAAAGAAGGAAGAGTCCTTGTTACTAACTATTATAACAGGGCTGATCATGGTGGTTGCAAAGGTATGTTGTTTGTGAGAAAACCATGTCATTACTTATTGTGTTCTCCGTTGAATTCAGGCTTAACAACTTATGTACAATGTGAACATCTGGTCTCAACAAGATTCTTCAAATGTTATGAATAATGTTGCCAAACAAAACAATACAACTTTGATGACATTGCAAGTGGGGCACTCTTCTATGTGCAGGTTCTTCGCGGTCTAGTTGGAGTTGTTACTTCTTTCCAGAAACATCCTTAGAATGCCGTCAGCGTGCATATGAACTCATGAAAAGTGAGGAGGCATGGAGTAAGGGAATTGTGACCACAAAAGAAAATTATACATCTAAGCATATATGGGCTGGACCTACTCCTAGGTAACCTCTCACAATTGCAATCAGATATTTAAGATTTCTTCCATACTGAGAACCTCAACTTATATGAGTTTATTCTTCCAATGTCAATATCAGGAAATGGGGACTTCCATGGGATTATTTGCAACCTACAACTGATATAAATGGGACTTTGTTAGCTTCTCATAGAAAAATGGATAGACGGTGGTGGAGAGCACAGGTACCTATCACATGTGCAAAAAAGGACTCGTGTCCTCATTTTAGCAGAAGTTCATGATTTAATCTTGTTGCCAAAAATGTTGTTTCCAGGCAGTACGCTACTTAATGAGGTTCCCAACCGAATACACATGCAATTTAATGAATGAGGCCCGCCATATTGCCTTTGGAAAATTAGCTGCAAAGATGGTTCTTCAAAGCCTTGCTGGGGACTGGCCAAAGGTTATAGTTAATTTTGCACTGTTGTGTAAGAAAATTAAAGAGTAGTAGTACATTATAACCATGCCTTGCATCTAAACACCGAGGGAGGAAAAAAAAATAGGTCCTGTTAGAAATTTACTTAGTTTCTCCCCAAATAGATAAATGCCACGGTAGTATTATATTTTTTTTCATATAAAGTTTGTTAAATTGTATTAGTGTAAATAACTTTCCTTTATTCCTTTGCCTCAGGAAAGCGGTGCAAAGCCAAGATCTGATATTGATGAATATGTGTGGTCCAATCACAAGCCATGGGTCCCTAGGCCTCTTCTAGGTATGCATGTAAGAATGGGAGACAAAGCATGTGAAATGAAGGTGGTTGGATTTGAAGAGTACATGCACCTTGCTGATCGGATTAGGAGGCATTTCCCATACCTTACTAGCATTTGGCTGTCCACTGAGATGCAGGTACCACGGTTGTTACCAGACATAAAGCTTTCTAGTTGCTAATTATTTTGAGTTATCTTTTGGATTATAGTTTTCAATACATTCTAACACCATAAGGGTCTAATTTGATTCAGGAAGTCATTGACAAAACCAGAGAGTATTCTCATTGGAATTTTCACTATACAAGGGTAAAACGCCAATTTAGGACTAACATGTCAATGGCTGATTATGAAGCCAGCCTTGGAAGGGAAACCAGCACAAATTATCCACTAGTTAATTTCTTGATGGCTGCTGACTCAGATTTTTTTGTTGGGGCATTGGGTTCTACGTGGTCTTATCTTATAGATGGAATGAGAAATACTGGGGGGAAGGTAATGGCTGGATACTTGAGTGTCAACAAGGATAGATTTTGGTAGAGTTACGTCTGTAAATTAGATCATTGCTAACTGTGATAGTAATACGATTCTTTGTGTGTATAATTATTGTACATATGCCAAAATAAAACAGCACGATCTCTATTTTCAAATGATGAAAGAATCAAAATACTTTATCCTAGTTTTTCGAGTCCGGTATTTCTTGCGTGGTTTTGTTTTGTTCTATTTCACCACGCCGAGTTCCTTGGTAATTCATCAAACGCTTTGGGTATGGAACTGTTCCATCTTCAAATTTTTACTAGTTGGGATAAACACTGGGCGCATCCTCTCCAAACTAGAACCAACCTGAGATATCCTACGCCAAATATATTTCTTTAATACCTGACGTTTTAAATTTATGAAACACCAAAGATTTAACATATTGCATGTTTCAACGAGAAAATTGATCAAAGACTTTGATCTGATGTATTCGAGTATTTTTGCTTTTATATCCATTCTATAAATAATTGGAATTGGCTATCGGTCGTAGGAGAAAAACATGATGGAACTATACGATTGTTTAATGTGCTCTTTAATAAAAATATTTTATGTATATTATCTTTTCATCTCAATTATAATAACTTCGCAAAAAATAAAAGTGTTTTAAAAATACTGATTTTTATTTTTGAATAAAATTTTGCACAAAAATTAAGCAAATAGAATTTTAATTTTTATAAAAAAGTTACTATTTAATTCTTTACTATATCCTCGTTTATTATATTATTTTGAAGTATAAAATACAATCTCCAACTAAATATACATTAACTAATAAGGATAAAAAAATTATTAAAAAATAAAAAGGCCATGGACATGGATCTACCCAATGATAAGCATGCCTCTGACTTTATAAAACAACAATAAAAACTATTAATGTGTTAAAAAAGAGTAATAGAAAGAATGTTCAAAAGTTAAAACATCCTCTATCACATTTTTTTTTTAACATTTTTAGTTATCGACTGAAATTTATTAAAAAAAAATACAAAACCATAATAAGCTCATTAAATTAGAATATTTACTGAAGTTGGTGATTTTCAACAAATTTCAACAAATAACAAAATGTAAGTTTTAAAAAGTATGGTAGAGAGATATTTCTTAAAATGAAATCATATTTTTATTAAAGATATTAAGACAAATACTAATAAGTGTTCATATTTTTATTAAAGATATTAAGACAAAATACTAATAAGTGTTCTAAGGATTTCCAATGCAGATATCTCAACATCATTATTAATAACAAAAAAATTAATTCCCTAACTAGTACTGCATATCGAAATGTTAATTACAAAAACTTTTGAAAAAAGATGAAGTGACTTAAAAAATGCAACATATCTAAGTGGGGAAAAAATGTTCTTGTATTCGATGATTAGATACAAATTCCAACAGATCTTACCATGCCAAAGTCAGTTTAAAAGAATAGGCAAAACTTGATGAACGAACAGTGAAAACAGAAATACCACTCACAAAAATGCAAAATCGATAATCAGAGATACAGATGTACATACAAATATCGGTATCTTGGGGAAATCAGAATGAAGCCAAGTAATTGAAGGCCATATTCGACTCTTTCTCTTCGTTTTCTCTTCAAATGACAACACAATTATTTCCAGATGACGAAATCTCTCTTCATAATCCAACATCGCAAAAGGGGAAAAACATAGTGGCACCCTTTTCTTGAAGTGTAACTATCACCCAAAGAGCTTCCGGTATATTCTTGGCTAGATCATCCAAAGTGAAAAGTAAAGTCAGCTGTGCACAATGACGCTTACACTTTCTCTCTGACAACGATTATAAAAGCAGCAATAACAAAGATACCATGCTATTATTATTCTTCCACATCCTCAATCCCTTGATGCGCTCCATCCCCTCCTTTTGCAACTGTCTGCTTCTTATGTTTTTTAATTTTGGCTCTCTTTGCCTTCATACGGCGTTTCCTCTCATTGGCATCCACCCATTTGTAGTCTAAAGGTATATTGAAAGGGTCAACGTCATCCTTGTATCTGTGACTATCAGAGTCACTGGACAGCATACCACGACTTCCTTTCATCCATGACATCCACGACGACCCTTCTGATTCCTTGGATTTGGCATCCTGGAAGTATGCTGGACTGGATAGCGGAGTTGAAAACTCCTCTGCTGGCTGAAGCTCCTCAAACTTTGTAAAAGTGACAATGACCCGTATAGTAGGGACTATAGGGATAGCTACCTGCAAGCAGTAGCATAACCAGAGACATATGAAACATGCATTGATACAAAGTATGCCACAACACAGAGGCAGTTACACAATGTTGTTTATTGTGGGCACAGTGGGAATATATGTGCCAATAAAATGATAAATTAATGAAGTACACAATCCATTGAATTTGTACTGTGCATGTTAAACTAATTGTCTAATCTCTTCTCTCAGCTGATTAACACAAACCATGCAACGTGATTTGTTATTTTGTAATTCACAGAATTCCATATCCATGACTATTTGTAATTTCGTATTATATAGCATAATTGATTTTAATATTATGCAATCCTGTTGACAAGGATGGAATGTTAACCAACGAATAAAAATATATCCATATACACCTAACATGTTTAGAAGTGTCTCTAAATGGTTCAAAAAGAATATCACACCGGATTTCAGTATTTTTCACTTCGGTAATGTAAGGAAAATTTTATTTAGAAGTGTGCTTATGACTGTTGATGTCCATTACATTTAGATCAGCAACATAACTCCACTTAAGAGGGGTAGAGTTCTCAAATGCAGGAGCAAAATCTGGATTGAATGATAGAAAAGAAACAACTGTAGTATCGAAGAATTTAAGGCAACAATATGGAATTTGGTTTGCAATATATAGTTCAACACGATGAAGAATTACATATTTTCATGAACTAATCTACAGAAGGGAAACTAAATGTGTCAGCTTAAAGAATGCTGGGTATAAACCAGAGGCAAGGGAAACTTTTTGTTCTTTTAACTCAACCCCAATGCAAGTGTTTAATTAGAACAAATATCCAAAGAAAAAAAATTCTAGAAACCACAAACATCTTAAAAAATGATTCTATGAACTCAAGCTGCATATTTGGCAATAGAATGATGTTAGTACATAGAAATGATCATTTTGTTCATCAGTCTTTATTAGCGACAATTAACCATCAACATTTGGACTCTGACGGGCAAATCAAAAAAATTGTAGTGCACCCATTTGTGACACTAGAAAAAAATCTGTAACCAATGCAACGTCAAAGAAAACCTGGTCCCTCAACCCAAAACAAACAAACAAAGCACTGTCGAGAGGAGGAGGAAGAATGTTTAGATAAACTACAACTCTGAACAAACTCCTACTTTTGTTCTCTAAAGATACAAGTATCAATATTATAACTACAAGAGTGCAGAGTAAAGCAACAATGGATAAAAAATTAAAGTACTAAGGGACAAATTATAGGGATATTTGGATTACCTTAACAGGAAAGGTTCCATGAGGAAGTTTGGTTGTCAAAAGTTCTCTGAGTCTCCTAATAGCCTTAACCTTGTTTGCTAAGATGTCAAGCAGAGGCAGAAGCTCATCAGTTTTCAAAGGGAAGTCGGGTGTCAACCACAAGACAGGTCTTAGGCCCTTTTTGTATTCACTCTCATTCTTAGTCTCATTAATTGCTCCTCTCTTCTTTTTCTTTTTAAAGTTTTTATCCTTTCCCTTCTTAGTCTCTCCAGGATCCTCCTTCAGAAACTCAGGTTGTGGCTTTTGCTGATCACCTGAAAACTTCTTAGTTTTTGCATCCTCAGGTTCATCACTGCCACCCCTCAAGTTTTTCTTGTTCCAACCAAACCAGCTCTTCTTCTCTTTAACCGCACCATTGGCGTCACAATTTTGATAGGAAGCTGCAGAACCATTTTCCTGACCATCAAAGCCGCCTCCATGTTCCTCATCCTGACAAACACCATCAGCGTTCCCCATACGCAGTGCAGAATCCAACTGGATTCTTTCTTCAGCAGTCAACACATCATCATACTCATCATTGTTTTCTCCATTCATCATACTTTCACCATCATCCACAGCAAAAAGCTCCTCATCAGTCATAGCACCTGGAACTCGTCTTGACTTCACACTCACCATCACATGGAGCATGTCATAAACTTTTGCCTTCCAATTCCCAACCATCTCCGTCTTCTCTTGTCTCCTCCAATTCAAATGGGGAACAAGCTCAGCCTGAGTAACATCAATACCAGGTCTATACATATTCGTCTGAGACATCAACGAAACCTCATGAACAACTTCAGCTTCTGACGGTTGCGTACCGGCTCCTTCCAAAGCATTGGTGATTTCCTTCTCCTTATGAGCAAGAGCAAGCAAAGAACCCGGCGGCAGATTCAAATTCCCATCCTCAGAAGCATAACCCTCTCCGAGGAACAAAAAAGTTTGATCAGATCTTTGTATGCGGAAGCCATCAAAACCAGCAAGTGTCATGTCAGAGCGAAGATTAGAACCGCGCTTCCAAATGCGGTAAGTATCCGAAGGGGCAATGCGGCCAATGAAAGGAATAACAGAGCTCTCAAAATGGAATGATATCTCCATATAGAAATCACGAATTCGAGCAGCGGAAGCAACAATGCGGGGAAGCCTTCGGCACCATTTAGCCCAAGCCAGAGGCTGATAGTGGCGCGCTATAATCACAGCAATTGCCTCCTCTCTACTGCACACGGCTTCTTGGAGAGCACTCCAACCATTCTCATTCTGCAGACTCCAATCAGCACCCGCAGCCATCAAAATCTCAGCAGAGACAGGATCCCTGAGACGCACCGCCAGGTGAAGAGGTGTCTCTCTTCCCGGAACATCACGCCGATCAATAACCGCCGATACCTCATCGGCTTTTAGCTCCGCCCCGAGAGATTCCGCTTCTGTATTCACCTCACCAGCCTTCGCAAGTCCAGGAATGGTGGAAACTATGTGGCGCAGTGCAGCGTGGTCACGCCTCGCCACTGCCACGTGTACAGGACTGTGCACGTATTTGGAAATATCTTCCATCTGATTTTTCTCCTATTTCTCTCTCTCTCTCTCTCTCTTCTATCTACGCTATATCACCAATTCATTGCAGCTTCGCCATTGTTAAATTGCAGAAAACCTGATTTAGGAAAAATTAAAATGGATTCAAGATTGGCAACTGTTTCTGCTCCGAATCCTTCTCCACTGATTTTCAGTTCCGTGGAAGGTAGTTAGGAGCTCAATCCAAATCACTGAAATGAGCAGTAGCGGACAAAGATTTGGAGCAGAGAATAGTATTTTTGCTTTTGAATTAAGAAAAATAAAATAATGGAGTTGGTGAAGAATGATAATATAGAGGAAGCAAACAAGTGGAAATTTCGCGGATTTGGATTGTGTATAAAGTGAATGTGTGAGAAGATCGACGAGAAAGAAAAACACTAAGAGGCGAAGAAAGTACCTGAAAATGAAAGGAAGGGTAGTTAGGGTTAAATTGAGGGAGAGAGATTGGATCTAACAATAAAAGAGGTTAATGCTGACACACACAACTGAAGGCAGCGAACACCGTCTCGCATTCGTAGATCAGAGATGGCATCGTCGCTCTCTCTGCTTATTATTTCTGTCTCTCTGGTATCTATCTTTTTATAATGTTATTCCTTTGTGTGAGCTATTGTGTGTGTGGGTGTGTGCCCGCTTTAGCTTTTGGATTTGGGGTCCTAATTAATTAACACTTCGGTGTTGTGCGGTGCACTTGTGTTTCATATTAGGAATAGGATATACATATTTGGAGGAAGGAATTGATCAATCAACCAAATCCAGACTACTCACAGATTATTACCCAACTTAAAGTGTGCTGGCAGTGCCAGGCATTGGGTATCCGTTACATTACTGATGAACCAAGGGTTTAGGCCCCTCCTTAATTCTCACTTTTCACTTGCTTAATTGCGTTGATGTGTTTGATAAATATATAGTACGTGCCATGGGAATTGGCATGTGATTTATCTTTATCTTTTCCCTTTGTAGTTAATGTTAATATTTACCCTTTGGTCAACTCACTGTTCATTGTCTTTTCGTAATTTTTCAGAGCCTTCTCTGATTCTCCTTTCTACGTGGCTCCCGATTTTGACTGCCACTGCCAATTTCCATTTTCATTACTACAAACAACAAATGGAAATTACATTTAAGAGATTTAGACTTTGTTCACATTTTGAGAAGCTAATCCACCTTATTTGAGGGGGAAAATGTGAGAGTTTTTAAACTATATTTAAATGGAAAATCAAATACCTATGATTTTAACAGTAACTTGATTTTATGTATTAAGAGGGTAAAGCAGAGAAATCAATGGGAGTAGTCTAACGCCCATACAGAATATATTTTTACACACCTCCAACGGCATGAAATTCTGAAAGTAAGGACATGTTTAGTTCCTTTGAATTAGTTTTCAGAGAAAAATTTATCTTTATTCAATTATAAAAATATATTATTTAATTTGAATATAATGTAAAATTAAATTAAATTCGTTTTGATTTAAACTTTTGTAATTTGAATTAAATTAGTTATTCAATTTTTATTTTGGTTCGTTTCTTGTTTAGAATTATACATGTTAAATAAACCATTAGGTACATAATAAATAATTTCTCTAAAGTATTAAATGCCTTTTATGAGTCACAGCACAGTCCACAACATAAATCACTCTATAATATAAAATGCATATTGATACTTAAATTTAACAATACATACATCAAATTCATACTTCTGTTATAAGCTAAAGCCTTTTATCACTGCTTATCTTATATGTTATTTCTTCTATCTATCTTTTTTTTTTTTCTACAAATTCTATCTATCTTTTTCAAAAGATATTCTTTGGTATAAAACATAAAATCTATATAATAAGCAAGAACCAAAAAATAAAAATAAAAAATAAAAAAACAAATTAACTAAATTTAAAAACTATTAAAAAATAAATTAGCATAGTGACTTCATAAATCCTATACAAATATAAGTGGTATATTGGTTTAATAAATAAAATTATGTGTTAATGGTGGATTTTTTTGAGCAAATAAATAAATTAAAGAGGAAATTAGGATTGAATTTTTTATTCTTTTGATGCGTTTTTATTAGTGTATTTTTAAACAAAATTGATAACATGAAACAAGTGACATTCAAATGAAAAAAAAAATAGGAAAGAAGAAAAAGAAGAACATTTACAAAGAAATATAAAAACCAAAGTAAAAAAATAAAGAACAAATTAAAAGCTAATTACAATTAAAAGAATGTACAACTTCAATTGAGACCACTAACGTACTTGTTGATCTTTTCTTATCAAAATTTAACTTGTGCATCAAACGTTTGATGATTCTTTAGATACAAAGTGTAAGTGTCTTAGAATTGAAGAAGTTCTACTTCTATGTCTAAAAACTTATTTATAGAACCTTAAAATAAATGCCTAATACATGTGTCTTAACTATTATCCGCACGCTTTTTTGCCACATATCTAAGTGTATAACTGCTAATAACATTTTGAATTTTTAATACAAATCTTTCATCTTCTTTGAAGACTTTTTACTTGAAAAGTTTTTTCAAGAAAAATAGTCTGAACCAATTTCTTTAACGAATTATTCTTTAACTTATAATTGACTAAATTTATTGATGAAAATCTTTGAATAAATCTATTCAACAAATTTTGACATTCTCGTACCTTGCAATTTTACTTCCAAAAAAACATTCATAAATCTGCACAAAAAATTATCAAAATATCACTTTTTTTGTCAACAAAAAAGTCATTATTTTCCTTATCATACTTTGCATAAGGAATTTGTCGAAAATGATACTTAGTTTCGACCAGAAACTCATGTTTATTTGGCTATAACTATTTTAAGAAAATTGTTGAAATTTCATTTTCATTTCAATTTAAATCTCATTATTAAGGATATATTATGAAGATTTTAGTTAAACTTCAACTATGAACCAAAGTCACAATCTTATTGTTCCGAGCGCAATATTAACAAAATTAGTAAATTTTGACTCCTATTAATTACTTTGATGGTTTTTCTAAAGATAAAAACCTTTTTTCGAAACATGAGACTAAGTTTATTTTTTGAAAAATTTATAACGTGAAATTTTTTTACTTTCTCCCAAACAATATGTATACTATAAGTTTGAATTAAAGTGGATTAGGTTTATTTTTAAAAACACATCTAAATTTTGATATAATTTAATTTCAAAAAATGAGAGTATTTCAGTTTTTATCCATTTTGAATTATATTTTTGTTGTTTAAAAATTAGATCTATTTATAAACACTTCCATTAACAAGAGTCCATCTTTTTCTTTTCTCGCATGCATATCAAAGAAATTCATTGTATGTACACCAAAATTATTTGTTGACAGATAGTTATACAATTTTGGACAGAATGATTGGATCCTTTCTTTCATCTACGTTAGCCCTCACGAGCGGTTGAGAGCAAAATGTTGAGACTAGTTGATTGAATTCGACTCCTCTATTAATATTTCGTATTGTGTAGCTCAAAATTTTAATTCTGTTCTTTATGAAACAAGAAAGGTAGGGATAGACTTATAAATTTCCTCCAAATTAAAGAATTTGCTAATTGCTTAGATACTTGTGGGTTATAGGATCTGAGGTTTAAGGGTAATCCCCTTTACTTGGCATAGGAGGAATCTTAAGGAAATGGTTGATAAGGTTGTGGCTAATGAGCCTTGGCGCCTTCTATTCCAGAAAAGCTCACTTATACATATTTCTCTTTTAAAATCTGACCATGCTGCCCTTTGTCTCAAAATTAGAGATAGGAACACCTTTCATGAGAATGAAAGGCTTTTTAATTTTCTTGCTCCTTGGATGTCTCATAATAACTTTCATAATCAAGTTAGGAACTCATAGCTTGATTCTAACTCTTGGAGTGAAAATGTTTTTAGATTTAAATCCAATATTTCTAAATGAAATAAATGTAACTTTGAGAATATTTTTCATAAGAAGAAATTATTTATAAAATAGAATTAAAGGTATCTCCTATAAATTAGCTTTTGAAGATAACTCTTTCCACACCAAGCTCATGCAATCCTTGTGAAAAGAATATAAGAAAATTCTGGATCAAGATGAAATTTTCTGGTATCACATTATAAGACTAGTTGGATTAAATTAGGTGATAGAAATAATAAGTTTTTTCATAAAGCTGCTATTTTTCGTAGACAAAAAATTTAATTGAGATTTTGAAAAATGATAAAAAAAAATGTGAATTTAACCCTTTAAAATTCAAACTTATTACTCTTAATTATTTTAAGAATATCTATTTTGACCCTAATCTCTATGTTGTTGATTTGTATAGTATTATTTCCTTTTCCCCCTCTTAGGAATTCTAATAAAGATAAACTTTATGCTTATATGTCCTTGGATGAAGCTAGGGTTTCCTTCTCTAGCATTTGGAACTTTTAATTTTTTCCCCAAATGACCTCCATGCTATTTTTTTTTTTCAAAAATCAATGAGATTTTTTTTACTCTCTTTATTTTTAATTTTGTTCAAGAAATCTTTTAAAACCTTGAAAAAATAGTTATTGTAGATGAAACTGCTACAACCTTAATTCTTAAAATTAAAAAAAGAGTCAATGTATTAAAAAATTTTAGGTCTATATCTTTATGTAATATGAATTATAAAATTTTAACTAAACTTATAGCTAATAGAATTAGGGAGTTTCTACGCTATTTGATTTTTGCCAATCAAACTAATTTTGTTTGTGGAAGGGAGGATATTGATAATGTCCTTATTGTTCAAGAAATCATGCATTCTTTTGCTGAATTAAAAGGTAGAAGTGACATAATTTTTAAAATTGACACTGAGAAAGCTTATAATAAACTTAGATGGGCCTTTATTATTGATACTTTGCAAAAGATTGGTTTAAATGATGAGCTAGTAACATCCTTTATCATTGTATTTCTTTTCCCTCTATGTTCATTAATTGGAATAATAGTAATACTAGTTCCTTCAACCCATCAAGGGGGTATTTGTCAAGATGATCATATTTCTCCCTATTTATTTGTCTTGTTCATAGAAATACTTGCTCACTTGATCCATGATCAAATTTTGATTAAAAATTGGTCCCCCTTTTCTTTTAGTAGCCTTGGTCCTAAGATTTTCCATTTGCATTTTTGTTGTTGTTGATGATATTATTTTAGTAGAAAAAGCTTATATGAACCAAGCCACTATTATTTATAAGGTTTTTTCTAAATTTTGTATTGCCTCAGGTATAAAGATAAATTATGATAAATTCTTCTTATGTTTCTCTAATAATATTGACTCAAGAGATTAGCAATTGGATATGTGTTAAGGTCGCCTCTCAATTTTGAAGCTACCTTGGTATCCTTATCTGCCACAATAAACCCTCAAGGCAAGACCTTGCCTTTATTATTGACAAGATTAGGAAAAAGCTCTCAATGAAAAATGAATACTATCCCTAGTTGGTAGGGTTTGTAACACCTTAAATTAATTTTCAAGTAATAATTTCGTAAAATGAGAGTAATGAAATTTTTATTTAAATAAAAGATCTCATCGCAGAGTTTCATAAAACAATTCAAAACAATAAAGGATTACAAGTTATATCAAAGACTGCTACATGACTAATTCAGTTATATCATAATTTCAAAATACAATCTAAGTCCTATAGCAATTCATCCTTCCTTCACTGAGTCCGGTGCTGATCGTCTTGGTCACCTGAAAAATAAATGTAAGGTTGAGTACTCTACACTATCCAACACACATAAACATAGAGACCCACCTCAAATACTACATATTTACTAACATATTTTAAATTATACATCCACAAGACAAGCATCTCAATCTCAGTCACAATAATCATTCATCATCTATTCCAATTCAAAACAGAATCGGTGCACTCACTGCATCAACATTTCACACACGTGCACTTACCGCACCTAGCCACGCTCACTGTGGCACTGTGATCACAGTTTCACACCACGAATGGTCGCTGGTTACCCTGCCTCACGGATGTCGCGTAGGCAGTCATGGGTCGCTCAGTAAAGGTGTTGGTCAAGGGTCTAGTCAAGAGGAGAGTGTGTGGCCTGTGGTGCACCCACGCTCACTGTTGGTGTCATCACCACTTTCTCTTCCGCAAGGTATCTCTACTGTCCCCATCTTCCATATCTCTAGTGTATCACTGGACCATCCATAACATATCATACACGATATACTTTGCCCACATTCATTCTCATTATACGGCACAAAGGCCCACATTCATTTATAATACTCGGCACATATGTCATTATTCCATCACACAACATATCAATAAGTCATCCATATCTATTTCCAACCATTTACATCATTCAATCGTCATTCCTCAACATGCTCACACATATTCTCAATCAAGGGTATGTCAACCCCATAATCAATTCACATTTCACTCCAAACACAATAATTTTCATCAAGTCACACATTTCCTACTCTTTATCTCAGTTACATCACAACATTCAATGAAATAAACGGTAAATTAAACACAATGAGATAGGGTAGAGTCCCCCTTACCTCAAATGAAAACCCACATACCAAATCAACAAGGTAGGCGCTTCCCCACACAAACTTTGACCTAAATACATGGAAGAACCCCATGAGAACCCAGGAAAACTGAGAAATCAGAGGATGAGGATGAGAAACTAAAACCCTAACCATTAAAACTCACTTCCAAGCATTCCCTACAGAAATCCAACCTTCAATCTTGCTCCCAAGCAGCTTAGAAGAAATTTAGTTGGTGAAATAGGGTTTGGGAGTAAGAGAATTGAAGAAAACTGCACCCTGATTTCTGCAAATTCTCACTACAATGAAACCCTCTCGCTACAGCGAGACTGCACCAGAAATGCACCACAAACTG